TTCCTTCAGCACATTGGTTTCCAGGGTTGTAAGACAGACACCTCTCTGTTTGTCTATTCTCACGGGACACATATGGCCTATCTACTTCTATATGTTGATGACATTGTTCTCACTGCATCATCCTCCAAACTCCTCTCTAGGATCACACAGCGCCTGAAGAACGAGTCTGCCATGACTGATATGGATGAACTTAATTTCTTCCTCGACATTAATGTTCAGTGCACCAAGGAAGGCCTCTTCTAACATCTGACTTAGTTTGCACACGATATTCTAGACAGAGCAGGCATGCTTCACTCTAAGCCCATCTCCACACATATTGATTCAAAAGGGAAATTGCCTACCACCTCGGGCAAGCCAGTTGCGGATCTCTCTCTCTCTCTCTCTACCGCTCTTTAGTTGGTGCTCTTCAGTATCTCACATTCACCTGGCTAGATCTCACCTATGCAGTTCAGCAGCTTTGCCTCTATCTCCACTCCCCAAGACCACACACCTTACAGGTTTAAAACGGGTCATGGTATCACTCTCACTCGTTCCTCACCAGATTTTCTTCAGGCATATTCTGATGCAGATTGGGCTAGGTTCCCTGACACGCAATGCTCCACCTCCGCTTATTATGTTTTCTTGGGGTTTAACTTGGTCTCTTGGTCCTCCAAATAGCAACAAACCACATCCAGATCAAGTGCGGAGGTCGAATAAAGAGCTGTTGCAAATGCCGTTGCTGAGACCAGCTGGATTCGCAATCTTCTTCTATGACAACATCAGTGTCGTCTACCTGTCATCCAACCCTGTTCAGCATCAATGCACCAAGCATGTCAAACTTTATATTCACTTCGTTCGAAACAATGTTGCCCTAGGACATGTTCGAGTTCTCCATGTACCATCCTCCTCTTAGTTCGCAGACATCTTCACGAAAGGGCTGTCGTCACTTCTCTTCACTGATTTCCAGCAAAATCTTGGACTTCGAAGATCACCGACGGAGTTGGCAGCATGCTAAACATGTTAAGTATATATTCCATATTTAATGTTATTATTATATTTGGTAGATTCCTTGATTGTATAGGATTTGCTATTAATGTTGTTTCCTTATTCATACCCCTCTTGCATGTATATAAGGGGAGGTGGATTCTTTGTAATTATCATTGAAATCCAAAAATCTTCAATTAGTTTCTGGCAACTATTGCATTTAGAC